GGATCATCACAAACTCACTCAGCACGTCATTACTATTTTTAAAAGGGACTCGAAACCCTTTGAGAAAGTGAACTAGAGAATCCACTCTTCTATGCCCAACAATTTATATGAGCACGATGCTACCCGACCATTGCAGTATCTTTCAGGTAGACGCTGCCGAACGGCCGCTCATATCTACTATAGCAGAATACTCATTTTCGATAAATTCTTACTGCCAGGACTAGATCTCTACATTTCGTTGCAACAATAATACGTCAAAAGTGTACTTAGAATATAGAACAACACGGAACAAACTCTTAAGGGAATGTCACGCAGTCATTATTTGCTCGCGCGGCCATAGGAACGCTCCAGACAATTTTTATGCAGACGAGTAGTGGGAGAAAGCATCCCTTTAATCACAATAAACCGTTCACACGATGCAGGTGTACCTCTGCACACCACATCTGGTTGCTAAGCAAGCAAACATATGATGGCTGACGGCTTCTAACCGGCTCCCCTTTAGTATAACTAAAGATTTAATGCAGGACAGTGTTTGTTGAATACCACTTCTGTCAGTGTTCAGTTTTGACTGTCTCGTTGAGCTTGTTGCAGCTTTAACTAGTGATCACGTAGCTTCTATAAGGCCAACATGCGAAGATTCCTGATGTCAACTTTCTACTAGTGACGGCTGTGGAAAATACTAAAATTCATTTTCCTTGGCCCTTAACTGCAGGCGGTATTTTCGAATATCTCGATTTTGAAGAATATTTTTTATTAAACCAATTTTTATAACTTTTAAAAGCCACATCCTAATTTTAATAAGTGAATAAAATATCATATATTCTAAGGCGGTTTTAAGAATTATAGTTAAACCGGAGTTAAACCTGTCACTGAGCAACTGAATATATCAAAGATTACGATCTATCAATTTTAAGGATGATTTAAAGACCGTTAAAAGTTAATAATAAATAATTTCGATATAAAAATGGCTTTAAATAACAGGTTCGTTATACTAATGCAGGATGTACATTAGTGTATGTAAGTGCATATTTATGTGTGCGTGCGTCTCTACATACCACCACTCAGAGTAAAATGAGATTTTCGAAGAAGTAGCTTACAAACAAGAAAATTCTTAAGCTCAAAAGCAGAGCTATCTCGACTTTTATCTACCTACCAGAAAAACAGATGCATACACAGTTATATTCGTATGTATGTAGGTATAGCGACTGCCACTATCTAATCAAGGTATTAGCGAAATTCGGTGGCACACCAATCAGCCTGAACCAATCTTTTTGTTGTTGATGTTTTTTTTTTTTTTTTGCCTCCAGCTAATGGCGTTCAAAGCAACCACAATGTAAATGAAAAAAAAAAAACGACACCAAGTGCACTGGAGAATTTCCTTTCCCCCTCCCCTTCTCTCTGTGCTTCTCTTACCTTCTGCTTCTTATTCTTCCTGCTTCATCAAATTCAGGGCGTCAGCGGGGAAATAACGGTAATAGCATAGAAGAATACTCATGTTGCTTAACCTAATTATGTCATCTCGTCTGATCTCATCTTTGTCAGTGGTATGTTTACATACAAATACATATATATACCGAATCTGTATATATACTCGTATTTATGCATATTGCCACTCTTTGCTGCATACTTGCTCTGTGTTTTGTGTCTTCTTTTTGCAATTGTTGTTCAGCCAATTTGTTATTTGACTTTGTCCGTGATACATATATATGAGGCCGCATACTTTTACATGCTCGACGTGGCATACTGACATACAGGCACATTTTTATGCTCGTATATGTGTATATGTATTTGAAAAAATTCTTTAAGGCTTAGGTGTACGTAGTCATCTACGGGAATTTCGTTATGCTTCTCATAGCTTGGTCCTAATTCCTCTCTTTACTTACATTCTTTTGTCTCAAATTTCAAATAAATATGAAATTGGGAGTACTTAGTAGAGTACTTACCACTTTCAGTGAAATTGTGGCAGAGTGTATGATTTTAATAATCATAATTATAGGTACATCATGAGTGGGGATGTGAAAGGGTTTTCCCTAAAATTGAACTCTTTTTCCTGTATTAATTTTATTAGTTATTTTGCATAATTTTACTTATTTTTTATTTCATCTAATGCAGCTTTTTATGTAATTTAGTTGTTGTTTTTATAAATTTTTATTTTAGTGAGTTTTATTGAATTGAATTTTATTTTAAATTTATGTAATTTGTTTTTCAAGTACATTTGATTTCATTAATTTTTTATAATGTTATATATTATTTTATTTAGTTCTAAATTAATTTATTCAATTTCACTGAAATTCTTTTTTTAATTAAATCTACTTTATTTAATTATATTTATTATTTAATGGTTTCATTTATTTCCCTTTTTTGTCATTTTATTTTCATTTAATTTAGTTAAACTACCCGTAATTTTATTTTGCTTTATCTTCTTCAACTGATTTTATTTCATTTTAAAATATTTTTTTTTTATTTCATTTATTTTATTTTAATTGATTTTTTATTATATTATTTGATTTTACTTAATTTAATTTAATTTATTTTTATTTTTTTTTTAATTTATTTAAATTCTTTAATATTATTTTATTTTTTCTTCCTTTATGTTTGTAATATCATTTTATTTTTCATGTTTTTATATTATATTATTATTTTTTAATTCTTTATTTAATATTATTTTATTTTATTTTTTTCTTATTTAGTTTTATTCACTTTATTTTAATTTTTTTTATTATTATTATTATTTTTAATTTATTTCATTATTTTTTAGTTTCATATTACTTGGTTTTACTTAATTTAATTTAATTTAATAATTTTTTTAATTTTATTTAATTTTATATTATTTACTTTATTTTATTTCATTTTATATTATTTATTACTTAATTAAATTTGATTTTATTTTATTTTATATGATTTTATTTTATTTTTTTATTTTATTTTATTTTATTTTATTTTGTTATATTTTATTTTATTTTATTCTATTTTATTTTATTTATTATTTTTTTTTTTATTTTTTTTATTTTATTTTATTTTATTTCGTTTTTCTTTATTTTATTTTATTTTATTTCGTTTTTCTTTATTTTATTTTATTTTACCTTCTTCTATTGTATTTTTTCTATTTTTATTCTTTATTTTACATTATTTTATTTATGTATGTTAATAATTTTTATTTATTTTTATTTTAATCTCTTTTTATCTATTATCACTATTATTACTTTTTTTCTTTTTATTTAATTTTATATTGTTCAATTTTAGTTAATTTAATTTAATTTAACTTAATATTTTATTTTAATTTATTTAATTTTATATTATATTGGCTTTTTATCATTTTATTTTAAATTATAATTTTTTTTTTTTATTTAATTTTTTTTGTGTATTTTTTTTTTTTTTTTTTTTATTTTATTTTATTTTGTTCTATATTATTTTATATTTGGGTTTTTTCTGTTTTATTTTACGCTGTTTCACTTTATTTTATATTATTCCATTCTTATGTTTTTTTTTTATTTTTTTTAGTCTATTTTATTTTATTTATTTAATTTAATTTTATTTTTTTTTAATAATTTATTTAATTTAGTATTTTTTTTTGAGTAAAGTCTGAATAATATTTAGATTTATCGAGCTGTCACTGCCTATATATTTTTTTAGAAGTAGTGAAAAAATTACAACATCAGTCTGGACGGTAGAAGTTATAGCTGCTATTTCGGCAACCTTCATGATTCCTCATCAGACTTCCTTTTCCAGACTCATTTTGTCCGAATTGGACTCTAATTTGGGATGCCCACAGCAGCAGCCTCTGGTTATACCATTAAGCTACATGTGTGCCGCTTTTACTTATTGTTTTTTTCTCTTTTTTCTTTCAGCTACATATCAAAGATGAAGTTCTTAGATATTCCGTTGTTGTTTTTGCGAAGAATATTCTAACAAATATATTCAGGCCACGCCTTTTTATTATTAGAAAATCTCGTTCACACGACAAGACTTTTATAAATTATTTTGATAACTGCTTTATCGATAACTTATCAGAATCATTTGAAGTTTTTCTATTAGCGTTAAATTTGTCGTTATGATGGAGCGTTGTTTTTTACCGTCGTTTTGATACTTTTTCGATATCAAAGAAAAGTAAAATTTGAAAACTAAAGTCCACATTCCATATAAAATATTTGATGACCTTCTACTACAAATACACATTCCACTGTGTGTTATGTACATATGTATGTATGTTTGTTTGTACTTAGACATATGCTGCGGCATTACCATATCGGCACAACGCAGCAGTGCTGAATTTATTCACTACAAGGCACAATTATGTGAATTGAAACTTACCTACATACATTTAGTATACGCTGAATGAGCGCAGCGCACACATATGTTTGAAGAAAACAAATGCCAAAACGCGTACTTGTGTATGTGTGTATATATGCATGACATGACTCCTGCCGACATTGTTAATAAGACTTTTTGTCTGTGTGTGTCTGTGGCACTTTCGTTGCCAGCACAGTGGGCAGCATATTTTCTAGCGCGGCGTTATTATTGTTGTTGCTACATGCTTGCTGTCTTTTGTTTTTCCTGGTGTTATCGTTGTTGGCGCTGCCAGTGTTGCCCTTCTTCAGCTGCCCCCATTTTATATAATCTTGGTAATCGAATGTCAGTTGGTAAGTGTAAGCATGTGTGTGTGTGTATGTATTATTACGACCATGTGAGCCACTTGTTCCTCTCCCTGCGTTGGCTAATATCCGAACTGCATTCACTATTTTCCTCTTTGCTCTCGACTTGCTGGCTCTACGGCAAATGTCTTAGCTGTTCTGACAGATGCTTAAAACTCATTTTACTATTTCTTTATCTTTAAACCTTTATGCTATTCCATACATTTAGTTTCGCTTTCATACATTCTTACATACATACACGTATGCATTTACATGTACGAAAGTAGTTCGGTATTGATTTGCTTATTCAACGGTACTTCGATGTATTTAATTTTTTATCTTCATTCTTTTGCTCTTTGCTTCTCGCAGGACTCAAATACCACAACTAGTATACTCAATCTGAAGGTAACTTCGGAAAATGATAATGCGGAGCTGATGTGTCGAGCGTCGAATCCTTGGTTTTCCGGCAGCGCTATTGAGGATAAGCGCATCATACGTGTGGCATGTAAGTTATTGTATTTATGTATAAGTATATGTATATTTAGATAATTTTTCTAAAATGAAAAAAAAAGTTAAATAAAACAAAAAAAAAAGAAAAAAAATGTGTAATAGCAATAGACAACGGTCAGCAATAATTGTCAGTACCAGAAACACATTTTGGAAGTTTTGTTATTAAATCTCAGTCTTAATCTTGGAAAATATTGTGTTCCTTTCCCCATTACTCTAGTTTATCAGTACTATGTGTTTTTTTTAATTCTCTACGCAGGCTCGGTTTTAAAGAGATACAATTTCTAGGGCCTGGTTGCAATTACATATCCTATTGGTGAATGGTACAATTGAATAAATATAAAATATGAGAACTTTGTGTACATTCAATCAAATATGCGCCGTTTTGTTCGAGACGAGATGCCAACTTCATTATGCCCCTCCCGTAGAAGGCTGCGTCCCTATTGGCAAAAAACTCGGAGAGCCAGTTTTTACAGGCCTCTTCTGACGCCAACTTATCACCATTAAGTGCGTTAGCCAAGGAGAGGAAGAGATGGTAATCACTTGGTGCCAGGTCTGGACTATAAGGTGGGTGCATTACGACCTCCCACCCGAGCTCCTGGAGCTTCTGGCGCATCACCAAAGACGTGTGTGGCCTGGCATTGTCCTGATGGAACACAATTCGGCCACTGTTGATCAAAGATGGCCTCCTCTGAATTAGTGTCGCATTCAAACGGTCCAACTGTTAGCAGTAGAAGCCGGAATTGAGTAATTGGCCATGGGGGAGCAACTCGCAGTAGATGATTTCTTGCCAATCCCACCAAACACTCGTCAAAACCTTCCTGGCCGTCAATCCGGTTTTGGCCACCATCTGGGGCGCTTCCCCGAGCTTTGACAATGACAGGTTGCATTCGATGTTGTCGTAAGTGATCCAGTTTTCATCGCCAGTCACAATCCGCTTCAAAAACGGGTCGATTTTGTTGCGATTCAGCAGCGATTCGCAGATGGAAATTCGGTCCATCATGTTTTTTTTTGTTAGCTCATGTGGCACCCAAACATCGAGCTTCTTTTTGGATCCAAGGTTATGCGAACGGTTCCAAACGATTTTCCGGTTTATCTTTAGTCTCTCAGTATTTAAATAAGTGCTCACGTGACCACCATATAGACCAAAGTATTGCCTTGTCTGTCTAAACTTTTCGAAACTACTATCTAAACCAAACGAAATGTGACCCAAATATTTGACAAAGTGTGACATGATGGTCTCATTCAAAGAATTACATCCTGGATCCTACTTATCCAACTGGCGATTCACAGTAAACGAAAATGAATACTTAACAGAGGAGTATTCTTTCTCGGCAGGTATTCCGCAGAGTAGTTCTTGGACCAATATTGTACTTAACTGTGTACCGCAGATATTCCTGCAAGTGACCACATTTGCGGTTCATACTGATATAATAAATTCGTTCAAATGCTTCACTACAGCCACGAAAGGGCTACATCAAGTGAAACAAACACATAACTTTTCCATGAAAGCCGAAAATATGCCTCACTATCAAACCCAGCAATGTACCGATGGCGCTAAAAAGATAACATTTCATACTAAAAAAGCTTGTCTTACAGTTTTGTGATTGGTGGATTCAGTTTTGTTCGAGCGAGCGTCAAAGATGGACAAAGCAAAGAGAAGAAACGCTTTATTTTACAGTTTTTCAGTTTTAATGAACTAATTAATTATATGGTCCTGATAGTATTACAGTGGATGATTTCTTGCCAATCTCACCCAACAGACTTAAATCTGAGAGGCTGACAATCCGAGAATGGCATGCATGGCTCTGAATACTGTTACAGTTAATCATGCACAATGTCGGTTTCATTCCGGTAATTTTGATGCAAAACATGCTTCAGACCAATTGTCAAAAATGTCGATAAAATCCAATATCCACGATTCCAGTGCGACCGTTCTGTAAGCACCGTTCCGATTGTTCATGAGCAAAGATGGCCCAAGCAACAACTCAAGCCCGCCTGCGGAGAAGAGACAAAACAGCCTTCTAAAGAGCAACGTCAAGTTTCTACTTGGGGCGTTACGTTTTAGTTTTGTTTAAGATTTTATTAAAATACTAATGTTAATAAAAAAGAAGCAAAACACATTCAACTTGAGCTCAGTCATTTTTGTTTGCCATTTCCCACCGCAAAATTTATAATGCGTATATTTGCGAGCTCACCTAAGTCAATTACTGTATTTGGTTCTTTATAAAGATATTTATTATTATTATTATATATATAATCTCATTTGGTCAAACCAATTTCATGCTTGATGTAAGTGTGTAAGTGAGTGAGTCATCAGTGTGTGTGCAGAGAATGAATCTATCCAATTACGCTACGCTCCATTCTATTAGCCTAATTTTATGTACCAAAGAATATCCACTCAACTCAATCCAACTAAATAAATCCAACTCAGCGCAACTAAAAACACTCGAGCTCACTACACTACTACAAATTACATATATATGTACATATATATGGATATAAGCTTAGTGTTTATTTAGTACGTAAATTTCATATAAAAAACAACAACACAAATGAATCGACTACGTCTGATGCTGCCAAGCAGGATGCATTGCTTTGTATATGTATATTTATTTATACCAAAAATACGTGCTGAAAACATTTGTTGTTGTATTTTTATATTGAAATATAAGTAAAATGCGCGGAAGCGTAGCTAATGGGCCGCATTTAATATCTAGTAAATATAGAGCATTGGGAGTCGTTATATGCACATGTGTGCGTGCGTACGGGTGTGTTTGTGTGTGTGTGTGTGTATGTATGTGAAAAGTTTTTTTTGTAAAAAAAAACAAGACATTAAATAAAATACATATTTAAATCTAAGTAAAATTTGTTTACATAAAATAAACATTGCGCACAGTAGGCGCCAAAAGTCGAACGCACCAGCGTGAGCAAGCTGTGATTTAGTCAAAAATTATAATAAATATATATGCGAGTAATATATAAAGTGGCACATTATGCAAACGTGTGTGTGTGGGCTATTTATAGCCGCGACAGGTGTGAGCAAGCAGCTGAACTAAAAAGATTTGCGCTCAAGACTGCTAGGTTATACTAATAAAAAGTATATACTCGTAGAGCCAACGGGCTTTTAGAGAAAATTCCTAAGCATATAATATTAAAATTTTTATTAACATTTTTTTTATAGTTATTGCCAGTTGAGAGAGAATTGCCATTTAATATCAAAACTATTAAAAAACTTCATAAAGAAAATTTCGGAACGAATTTTTTTTAAAATTAATCATTTTAATTCAAGCGGAAATGAGTTCACTTTGGTGCATAAAAAGAAGTTTTGCAAACATTATACATATACCTGCATGTGTGTATATATGCATTTGCTGTACCTTAAAATTCCACAAAAATTTCAACACTCCTCTTCAACATCAGTCAGTCAACAGAGCACACATCCTTAAAGGTCTCATTGTTCTCCTGTCAAGTTTTTGCCACAAATGATTTTTTATCGTCTGCTGCTTTTCTCATTATTACCACAGCCAGTCGTGTTGTTGTTGTTACTGTTTTTGCTGTTGTTTAGTATTGCTACGCCTTGCTTGACTCGCTGTGTCGGCAACTTTTGACCCATTCAAATTTATTTGTACGTTTGTTTACTTTTATGTTTGCAATTTGTATCGCTCTTCAACTCCATTTAATTCTTTTCTTTTTGCTTACATTTCTATTAATATTTGCTATTTAAGCATGGGTGCAGAGAGAGTCATGTAAATAGTAACGGGCGCATATTAAATATATATATAAAGGGTGATTTTTTAAGAGTTATAGGAAAGTTTTTCCAGAAAAAAGCACATAAAATTCAGAAAATTGCATGAAGTCTTTATTTGAATCGATAACAAAATCCATATTATTTATTGTTTGGAGATTATTACATGCCAATGTTGACCGTGGTCCATCCGCTTAGTCCAATTTTGGTATTCTCTTTCCAACATTTCGGTCGGTATCTCACGAGTAAATGCTTCAATGTTGTCCTCCAATGCGTCAATTGAAGCGAGCTTGTATCTGTAGAGACATAAGATTTAACATAGCCCCACAAAAAATAGCCTAAAGGCGTTAAATCGCACGATCTAGGCGGCCAATTGACCGTGCCGATCGTGAAATAAAATGTTTACCGAACTCGCCTCTCAATAAGTCCACTGTTACGGATAATGTGTGGCATGTGGCACCGTGGCATGTGGCACATGTCATGCAAGTCAAGCTCGGGCATTTTGGGCAAAGTAAAGTTTGATATCATCTCACGGTAGCGCTTACCATTCACAGTTATGATACAATCCGCCCAATGCTGCCACCAGCGCATGAACTGCACCAAACTGTGACTTTTTCTGAATGCGTTGCTAGCTCTTCCAATGCTTCTGGCTGATCTTCACTCCAAAATCGACGATTCTGCATATTTACGCAGCCATTGAGCCAAAAATGAGCTTCGAAGCGCGTAGAAGAAACGTGCGATAGAATTTTTTTTTAGCAGAGCACGCATTTTGATACTAAGAATCAATAATTTGCAAGCGTTGTTCTTTTGTGAGACGATCCATGGTTGAATTATAAAACAAACAATTATAGCTAAAAATATATGTATATATATATGAGTATATTTTTAAATAAGAAATCTCCTATGCGCATCTCTTAATATTTATTATCCTTTTTTTCTTACAGATCCACCAACAGTCTCAGTGCACTTAGCCAACGAGGACCCTAGTCGGTTTGTTACCAAAGCCGAAGGCCAAAATGTCACCTTCAAGTGTCGTGCGGATGCGCGACCTCCTGTGAGCTCGTATGCCTGGTTTAAAAATGTAAGTGAAAAATAAAAATTTTAAATTAACTATGAAACAGAATTACTAAGGGAAAAAGAGAGTACTGGAAAAATGATGCAAGAATATTTTTCAATCATTTATTTTTACCACACATTAAAAAGTATTAATATCACAAATTAGATCTCCTTAACTAATATAAGAAAATAATAATTTGATTTATGGCTTCTCCAAGTTTTTACGCATTGCAAATGACACTCAAATGTCTGTGAATTTTAATCATTTTCCAGTTCCTTAAGACTTTGCCGCACCGTTAAGGGGCAATATATTTTAGCCTGTTCGAAATGCGTGGTGCACGGCGGTGTTTGATTTAAGATATTGAAATGCAAGCCACTAGCCCTGATGGGTATGCCATATTTCTCAGCAATTTCATTGTACACAGACTTTGGCGTCGCTCATATTTCATTCACTGGCTCAGTTGTCTAATGTATATTATCATCTCAGTTTGCGTTAAAAAAAGTGTACTAAATATACCAGAAGTCTATGGTTTTTTCAAGTAAAGTTAAAAAAATATATTATTTTCAGTATGTGATGTTTTTCTTGACAAACTGCATATTTTTCTTTAGAACACTCTATCGTTAAAGCCTGAATAAAAATATACATATGTGTGTATGTACAGCATTGGCCAAAGTATTATGCACCCCACTAATTACTGAAATTTTTGTTTTAACAAGTGAAGTAATGAAGTTTTATTAGTAAGTCAGTGAAAATACAATGAATTAGGAATAATAATATAAATATTTAGTAGGTCCACCCATCGATTTAATAACGGCAGCAGTTCTCTTAGACATTCTGCGTACAAGCTTTGCACATTCGTCCGCACTTATAGCGTACCACCCATTAATTCAGGCATTCTTTAAGACAGTTTTTGATGTTATACTGTCCTCCTTAATCTTGCGTTTTAAACTAGCGCACATGTGCTCAATGGGATTAATATCCGAAGACTGTGCAGGCTAATCTAACAAAAACAATGTTAGATAACAATCTCTAAGCCAGCGCATCGTAGTCGCTGATTTGTGACAAGGAGGTTTGCTGAAATGGAATCCCGTCTAAATTAGTATCGCCGAAAATGCGCGTTGACGTTGCGACCCTCGCAAACAAACATTTCGGCGACACCATCAGCAGCCATGCAGCCCCAGATCATAACCTGCCTCCTCCATGCTTAACAGTGGGTAACAAGCAATCTGGATGATATTCTTCCCCAACCCGTCGCCTCACGTACGTCACACCAGGTGTTCCAAGCATCTGTAAAAAAGAAAAAATTATGTTTTCATAAGATTTGTATTATGTCTTCAAAACTGCTCTAGGGTAAGAAGCCATGGCTGTTAATACTTTAAGACGATCTTAACTAAGCTTAACCCGAAGTTTGATTCATCAGGCCACAGAACATTCCACCTCTTCTTCTTACGTAAAATGTTGCTATCGGCAAGCCCATTCCAAACGATTTATCCTATTATTTTTTGAGAGCCACGGCTTTTTTCGGGCTTTACATCCCGTTAAACCTGCTTCTAGAAGTCTTTTCTAACTGCTCGGGCACTAACTGGTTTACTAAATGCATCCGAAAGGGCAGCTGCAACTTTCACTTCAAATTTTAAAGACGAAAATATTTTATGAATTTCTTAAAAATGACTGCTTTAATGTTTAGCTTACCCAGAAGGTTAGGAATTTTGCTATTATGTTCTATATATAGAATTTCTTATTTAAAAACTGTCGACGAAATACATTGTATTTCTGGATATGAAATTGAAAGGATTCAAAAACCATACTCAGTGGAACTGTGTGCTTGTGACACAGTGAACTTAGAATATAAAATACAGATTTAATTCGGCAAATAATATTTGTGTGTTCTTTTCTAATAAAATATACATTAGAACAGAAGTCGAGTTGGAAAAAATTTATGAAAAAGACAAAAGTTAGTTATGCGGGAAAAATTAGAAGAATATTGAAAAACTTAAAACCTCATCATCAGTAATAAGGAAACATTTGCTATAATAATTTTGGTATACAACCATTTAATGCGGTCACCGGCACTTTCTAGTAATTTAAATAAAGAGAAAACAAAAGAAAAATTCACTTTCAAATTATTTCCGCACTCTCAGCTAAGCTCACTCCAGAAGGTTTCACCGCTACGACTCGCTTGCTTGTCTGCATTGCCGCCACAGTAATAACCATTCTATGACTGACTATTTAATTATTACGACACTCCATATTATTTACTGCCTCTCTGCTTTCCACTCGCTGTCCTTATTCGATTTAGTTCATTTTGACCCCCCTCCCGGTTACCCTGCTCCCTGGCCGCAAATTTCTGTTAGTGTTTTATCCGTTTACACGGATTTACGTTGTGTTTTTTATGATGGTTGGCTCCTTTCGTACATTTATTTATTTATCTATACTTCAGTTATATTACAGATATTGGGGTCGAAGTGGTTCCTGAGCTGCTTGGCTGTGTTTTTCTCTTCAGCCGCTTACCTCTGCCCTCCGTCATTTGGCCGCCGCTCTAATCTGCTCCAGCATGATGAGCAAACCAGCACAATTTAGTTATTTATTTCTCTGTTTTTATACATATTTTAGCTGGCATAGCTCCACAGCTGCTGTTAGTGAGGTTTTTATTTTGTATATAAGTGTGTATGTGTGTGTGGGTGCAACTTTTTCTCACTAACTGTTACTTACTAGTCACTATTAGTGGCTTTCTTTCATCAACTGTGCAGCCGATTTTGCAAATGTGTGTACATTTCATTGTAATATAAATATATTTTGATATTTATGCATTTGTATGTATGTATGTGTGTGTGCATGTTTTACGGCAAATTCGCTAGCATTTACACGCTGCTCTTGCTGTTGTTGGCAAATAATGCTGGAAAATACGGGTGGTTGCCATTCTTAACGCTACTATTTCACGTTGTTGTTGTTTCTGTTGCTCTTGAATTGTTGTTGGTGTTGTTGTTGTTGTGGCTTTGACGTTGACGGCACTTTTGTGGTCTAATTTAATTTGGCAAATTGCTCGGTGAACCGCAAAGTGCTGCTGTAGCACCACTACCAACGCAATACTTATCCACCGCTACTCAGTTGCAGCTGTTGGTGGCTCAGACAAACCCACACACACAAGCACACACACACACACTAATACACGAACAAACACACACATACACTCAGAGTAAGCTCTGTGGCATTCAACGCGTTGCTAGCAAACAGCAAGAAGTGACAATATTCAATTTATGCTCTCGCATAAAGAGATTTGCCAATATTCCAGTGCGAATTGAAAAGTGTCGAAAGTGCTGGCGCGTGCGGATCCGTTCGATTCATCAAATTTAAAGTGAACATTCGCCAATACTTACATTTAAACCAGCCAAATATATATGTACATTAAGTACACAGCTGGGCATATTTACGTGTATTTTAATATTCACATATATGCGTAAGTGAATGCTGTAGTATGTGAGCATTGGGGTGGTCCAAAAATTTACAATTATTTTTTTTTTTGCTTTTTTTTATTAATTTCGTTGCTAGTCCTTTTAATTTTGCGAAAAGTCATGTTTTTGAAGCAGTACTTATATGGGAGCTAGATGCTAGAGTGCTCCGATCTTCCAGATTTCCACTGTAAGCTTTCTATACGTAATATGTATATAACACAAAAAATTTCAAGATTTTAGCTACTTAGTTAGTGCCGTTATTACTCAGAAACGGGTTTTTGAAATACTAAGTGTATGGCGACTTCAGCTTATTTAAGTCCAATTTCGCTTATTTTCAAAATATATTATGTACATAATATATGCTTACAGTATATTAAGCCGTATATGCCTAACTACTCAACTTATGAAGCTATTGAAAAAAATCACGTGTTTGAACATTTACTTATATGGAAGCTATATGTTATACCAAATCGTTTATAATGAATTTCTCGCAGGCAATCCCACATATAATAAGTAAACTCTGGGCCGAAATTTAACTTATTTATTCTATTTTTTTTAATTTTATTTTCAAAAAGATGTTTTTCAAAAAAATTATTTGTTGAAATTTGTATGAATTCACGCATTATTTATGCTTTCAATAATTTTTAGCAATAAAAAATATTTGTTTTATATTACGCATAAATGTAAAAATATGTGAATTTTTGGCGCACCCTAATGGCCAGTTTTACTTATATATATATGTACATACGAACTCATATTTATATCAATGAATTACTGCTGCCTGACTTCTGCATGCAAATGAGGAATTGTGTGCGAATTTTCACATTTAAATTCGGACATTATTAACTTTTCGTTGCGTGTTAATTTATATGACCGACCAGTCATTTGCGTGCACGCAGCGAACGAGCGTGGGAAAGTGTACACGATGGCGACACGGCTTGTGAGTTAAGTCTCGGCAGTTCGTTGTTGATGGCTTGCCATAGGTCTTTTTTATGACATTTATTGTATTGTTGTATTGCGCATATTTCAATTGCACATCGATTCGCCATTACATGTATACACGCATACACATACAAAAGTACATACTATGTATCTACATATGTATGAATATTAGTAACAAAATATTCCACTGTAGACATATGTAAATGAATATATAAAATATATATAAATATGCATGAAATTGTAGAGATTTATTTTACCAATGAAACATCCAAAATGTACCGTGTACTCGTAGTACAACAACAAACATACGCAGCCCGCAATCTACTTGCTGCCATAATACCGCGGAAGTTGAATCGGCTTTGTCAAGCCGCCCAGCGCGCGCTCCTGACAAACGTATTCTGATGACTTTATTCATTTTTGTGTTTTACTTTTTGCACACACCTCTGTCAAACATATTTTTTTGCTGTTTTCATTTATGGGAAATTTAATTAAAAAAATTTATTTTTTTAAGATTTACAAATTTTCTTTGCCATAGACATTCATTTGAATTTTGCCATTCTTTTTAGACTTTGCTAACACATTTTTTGTAATTTCTTTATATTTTTATTTTTAAGTATGAAACTGACCCGA